ACCGGAACTGTGTAGACCTGGTTCAATGGCTTCTAGCTAAGCAGTTCTCAAGGGATACCTGCGTGCTGGATGCCGCTGGCTTAGCAGGGAATGATAGGCAGCAGTTCCACAGTTGCGTGAAAGGCTTTCTGGTGGAGGAGATTCGATTTCTAGGAGGTCCTAAGGTGGAAGCTCCCCAGTTTCACCTTCCTGTGCGCGAGAACTTTCTGGTAAGCTCTCGAAGGTGAGAGGAGGTAATTTATCCTTCACTGGAGGCAGTTAGGCCTGGTCTAGAGGATGACTTAGGAGAGATGTAGACAGGATTCAACACCTTCAGTGAGGAGGATTCAGGTTTAGATCCAGAGTGGACGGAGGGAACTCGAGTTTCCATTAACGGCCACTGATGGATGGTTGGGTAGAAAGCTTTCATTCATCTTTAAGAACTGAGATGAGAAAGCTTTTTATTCTCTAAAGTAGCATACAGTGTCCAAAACAGGCAGAACCCAGAATTTAAAAAAATTTTAAAGGGTGTGGTAAAAACTCCTAGTTTTTTTTTTTGTTTGTTTGTTTGTTTTTAAGTGATTTGATTCTGATTGCAAAATACAGGTGAGGAGCACGGGCAATGCCTGTAACCCCTTGGTTGCCCATCTTCCCACTCTATGCTCCTATAAATACCCTTTGTACAACAGCAAGCTTATGGTGTCCTCAAACGCTTGCACATTCTAACAGCTGCAGAGTATAGTATAGGACCAGGTGGAAAGTTAAACAAATGCCCCACTCACAAGGTAGGGCCCCTCCAATTAGTCTTCGTACTCCCTTTTGCTAATAGGAACTGCTTGCTCTTCCTATTGGTCATAGATAATTACACCTGCACAATTCTCCGAGTGCTTTCAAGTAATCTCAGAAGGCAGTGACTAAGACCCTTTCCTTGCTCCCAGCTTCCTATGTCCCAGGCTGCCTGTGGCACCCGGACTGCTGCTGCCCCCGGGTCCCGCACATTCCAGGATGAGGATGGAGGAAGAGCAGGCAGGCCAAGCATGAGGAATTAGCAGTCTTTACCAGGCTCAGACCAGGAGTCCGTGGGTCTTGAGGACCTCTGTGTATTTGTCAGTTTTCTCCTCCACGTTCTTCTCGGCCTGTTTCCGTAGTCTCATAAGCTGTTTCTTCTTCTGGTAGGGGACCTTGGCCTTCTCCTTCCTCTTCTCCTCCACGGTGGCTGTCACTGCCTGGTTCTTCCAGCCAACCTCGTGAGCCAGGTGCCCCAGATAGGCAGACTTTCTTGTAGGCTTCAGACGCACGGCCTTGAGAGCAGCAAGAACCACCGCCCGCTTTTTCTTGTCCTAGGGTGGTGGGATGCCGTCAAACATGTTGGGGTGCCCCAGGGCAGCCTGGCCTCACTTGGCCCCGCGGGGCAGCATGCCTCGCACGGTCCGCCGGAAGATGCCGCTGGTGGCCCGGAAGTGGTGGGGACCTGAAAGTAGTGGGGTCCCGGAAGTAGTGGGGTCCCGGAAGTGGTGGGGTCCCGGAAGTGGCGGGGTCCCGGAAGTGGCGGGGTCCCGGAAGTGATAGGGGCCTCTGAAAGAATTGGTGTTCATCCGCTTGCGTAGGAAAACTGGTACTTCAACTTGTTTCTGTAGAAATTTCTAGAAATGTTGATGCCCTCGCAGCGTATAACTACCACCTTCCAGCTCAGCAGTACCTGCTTAGCCGCGATGGCCGCCAGGCGGCCCAGGAGATGGCCTCGACCATTGAGGACCTGCACCTCCGCCATCTTCGGCAGCCATCTGGGAAGAGAAGATCCCTGTTTTGAGTGTAGATTAAGTTAATGCAGCCGACTCCAAAAGACAAGGCTTAGGCAGTGGAAGCCTAATTCCCTCTCCTCAAGTAAAGGCTCAGAGGCACAGAGACGGGAAGAGGTGGCCTGAGCCCGTGAGCCAAGGGGTCGTCTCCAGACTGAAATTCCCTCCACCTGTTTGCTGTACGGTCCTTTGGAGTCTCGCCTGCTTCGTGGTCAGTACCTGTACTCAGGCACCAGGACCGTGTGCACATCCCAGCTCACAGGAGGGAGGAAGAGAATGCTGCTTCTTAAGCCCATGACCCTGAAGTTTCCCACCATTTCCACTTGCATCCTACAGGCTGAAACTTAACTTTCCCTTGAAGGGAAGTGACCCTCCCTTCAAGGGAGGCTGAAAAATGTCATCCCCAGCTGATCAATAGTGGGCCTGGCTAAAAAGGGAAGAGTGGTACCCAGCAACAAGAGGCAGTTCTGCGCAGTCCCCTCTGGCTTCTCTGGCTGGCCCTTCCCCGCCCCCCGCTAGAGAAGGTGCGAATCTGCGTGGCGGTGATGCAGCACTGTCTGTCCACTCCGCCTTTCCAGCAGCCCTTTTCTCTGAAACTGCCCTGTGACCACACAGACCCTCACCTGGGCCTGCACCTTGCTCCAAGCTGACCCTGCCTCTCTACTTGAAACTCTCATTCCCACTATTAGGGGCAAAAAACTTGATGGAACAAATTTATAACAAGGTGCCTATGCTTAATGATTCATTATTATAGTCTCCGCGGGGAGTATTTCCATTTCTTAAGCCAAGTAAGTTAAATGATGAACTATAACAAGCAGTGAAAGATAAATTTTTGTTTATTTTTAAACAAATCTAAAACTTTCGTTATTATCAAAGAAAGTTAGTTAAAACATAATCGAAGATAGTGTGCAAAAGATATGCATCTTGATATTTCTCTTTTCTCTGTGTCACCTTCAATTTCGTGCATCATTTCTCCTATTGTTATGTGCTGGTTAATTTGCTTCAGGTTGACACCTTAAGCTGTTCTGGGATCCAGGTTTTTCTTGACTGGTCTTACATCATCTAAGGGGAGTGCCACCCACATGTGCTTATTAGCTGTCTTTCATTGATTACTTGACTGAGTTTCATCCTCACTGACATTTATACCAGGACCATCTAATTTTCGTTCTTAGTTTTCTTTGCTCTCATTGTTACTTCTCTTTTCCACCTTTCTTTTATTTCTTTTCTGTTTTGTGACTTCTTATTTCCTTAACTGATGGAAGGCATTTTTTCGAAGCAAGCTGCTGCTGTTTCCCTCTTTAGTAAAGTACAAAATATATAAAAGTTCCTTTCAATGAGTACTTATGGAATGCCTACTGTGTTCAGGGTGCTGGTCATCTAGTTCTCAGAGCTTGTGTTTAAATACATAACCATCCCCCTCGTGGCCTTCTTCTTTGGCACAGTCCTGTCTTCTGAGAACTGACCATCCTCAAGGTGGATGATCCTGAAGTTTCCTTCTTGGGAAGAGGAGCACCAGTGTGCCTTGTGGGCTGCCATCTTATCCCCTTCACCACCCATCCCCTTCCTGGAAGGCACTGTCACAACTCCACATCACAGCATCTCTGAGCCTTACAATGGTGCAGAGGGTGACTCACCCTACTTCTGAATAACTTCCTAAGAAGATGCATATTTATTCCACAAGTCACAGCATCTTATCCCCCAGGGGGTACTCCTGTGGCAGCTGGGTCTCTTTCAGGCCCATGCTTAGCCACATGATTTTACTCTGAGCCCCATTTAAGGTATTTCCTGCCTACATTAGGCCTCAGTGATTTCCAGTTACCTCGGGCGAGGCACCAGCATGAAAATCCCCAGGGTTACGGCACTTGATGGAGCTGAGCCGCCTCTGTGCCTTTGCCTTCTGGAACTCAGCAGCCATGCCCACGCCCCATTGTCTGCTACGAAAATCTACCTGGGGAGATATTAAAATCACCCTATCCAGATCCAGTGATGCCTCTTTCATTGTCCCCAGGTGTCTGAATCTCCTTGGCTCCATACCCCGTCCCTGAAGACCAGCTGTGAATACGCGAGCCTCTACTTCCAGCCTGCCGCCAAGATGGAGGACAGTGATTCAAACGACTACATCAATGTTCCTGCCTGACAACTCCCCAGCTGTCCCCTGACCCCAGGCCCAGACTGTGGTGCCAAGGAGTCTCGCCTGTCTGCTGATATCCAATACCTGCTTCATGTGTTCTCAGAGCCATCATCACTTCCCCTGCCCCATCTCAAATCCCATCCCCTTCTATCTGTGCCCTGAGCGTGGCTCTGCCCCCAGGTCCTCTTGCACACCTTAGCAGCCCCCTGTAGTCAACAGGTAAGGTCTAGGCATGCAGAGCAGTTGTCACAATGCGACTTGCTCCCTTTTTAAGCCATCTAACAGGCTATGGGATTTGCAGTGTGTTTCTTCAATGTCTTTGACCACAGGGTTGTTGCTGCCTAGGCTCTAGATCACATGGCATCAGGCTGGGGCAGAGGCAGAACTATTCTCAGGCATCCTTCCCAGGTTTGGGTCTTACACAAATAGAAGTCTCATTTTCTGAGTTATGTGGATAAGCCTCAGCCCCATGGACTAGGCAGGGGTCTATTATGAAAACACTCCCAGAAATGGCTTTGCCCTGATCCAAAAGTTAGCACCTGCTAGTGAACATCTACTTATCTCAAGTTATATGCTAAGGGCAATTTATCTTGGTGTGATGACGTATTCTAAATTTTCAGAACCGAGCTTGTTAGTGAGATTTGCATATTAAAAAGTCTTTGCCATCTCTTTATCTTTCTTCCATAGCCTGATGCTGATATTTGTGCACTTAACTTTGGTCTATTTTAGTCATGCAAAACTATTATATTTCTCAGCTTTCACAAATGTTCCTCATTTCTTTGCCAGTTGCAGACAACACATAGCAAGGTGAGGAAGGAAAACAGTCAGGAGTTCCCGGGTGGCCAGGGCTCTGCAGTAGCACTTATGTCATGGAAAAAGAGATATCCCACCTCCTACATATAATTTTTGTCTAAGTTTTTGGAACAAGGTCATAGTCAGAGGTTACATCTTCAGATTGATGGCGACCACAAAGTTCAACCAGAGCTTGAGGCTAGATGCCCAGCCTTGCTTTTGGGAAGAAGGCCTTTTCTGGCTATACAACACAGTCTCGCTGGGCATTCATCCAGAAATAGAAAAGAAAGGCTGCCAGCTTTGAGTTGTGTTGCCTTTTATCAGCAGGGAGTGTCATCACAGATTGGACAGTACATCCAGGTGCAATGTCATCATCAGCAGGTCAGCTTGACACTCAAGTGGCAGATTAGGGAAGAATGACTAGGATAAAAAAAAAAAAGGCACCAAGGAAAAGGGATGATGGGGTAAGCTGTTGAGTGTGGGTGGAAAATGAAATGTTAGCATCTGCTTTGTGCTGGGCACTTTAATCCACGTTTTATCTTTTATCATTTACTTTTCAAACTGATGTCTCTTCCCCACACCCCCATGCCCACCAATGCTCTGTCCCTGCAGATATCAGAAGACAGTGTGATTTCCATTCTCTAAAGTTCAGTTTTACATCCCAGCACCCCTCTGTTTTTCAATAATCCAAAGACAGGCAAAAAAAATTAAAACCACAGTTTATTAAGTACTTAGTGAGCACCCCTCCACTGCCCCACACTGTGGCAAGGATTGTGAGGGGTAAAGGACAAGCATGGGGCACAATATTCTGCTGTCTTCATGGAACTTATAGTCTCACAAATAAATAGAACATCAGTTGAAATACTGACATTAATTAAATAGAGTTGTAATAAATACAGGAATCTTCTCTGTAGACTCCACAGCATCCAGAGGCACCTTCCCTGACTCTTGCTGGGGCTGCTTAAAGAATGACTTCTTTGATAATATTCCTGGGCCAAAAATGGGACCCATGGCCAAGGGTGTCAAGTGTCCAGTGAACAGCATAGGAAGGGAGTCTGTTTGAAATGACACAGGGAATGGTCTGGTGGAGGTGGAATGGAGTCCTGGTCTAGACATTCAGAACTTGTAGAATTTCTGCATCCAGGTCAGAAGAACATCCACTTCCCCAAGGGCTTTGGTCAGAGCTGCTTCCATGTCCAACTAAAGGGAAAGGAGGGTTCAAGGTCAGCCATGTTAGCTATGAAAATAGTCTTTCTTCCAACCTGCCATGCCTGAAATAGACCTGACTCCAATCCATGGGATGGGTCACTTTTGGGTGACCTCTGATATGCTCACCTGCCTGTCACTTTTCCTCCGTCTACATGTGTTTGTCTGCTTCAGGGGTGAGGACAAACAGGACAGTGAGTAATTGTGGGCAAAGAACAAGGGGAAAGCATATGGCATCCCGAATAACAGGAACCACAAACTCCAGTATGGGGTGGATGTGGCCCACCATCTGAATCCACTGCACAGGTGAAGTGAGCCCAGTTGGCCCCTCTCCATCAGATGTGATCTTCACTATTTATTTATAGGCTGATGCATCTCTTCCTCAAAAAACGATCAAAATCATTTGTGTTTTGAGGAGGGCTAGGGATGAAATGTGGATTTTGTTGTCATAGTTCTGGAAAAGCCAGTATAATTTCCCATAATTGTTTTTCACAACTAGACAATTTGAGCACCATGAAAAATACTGCAGGTGTCTATGGGTGGGGGTGGGGCTTCTCCCTTCTTTCTCCCTCTCTTCTGACTTCAGTTGCCCAGCTCAAATACCCACAAAAGACAGGCAAAATTCCTCTAGTAAAATCATCTTGTAGGAAGGAAATATAAAAGCATTTTGACTTGAAAACTGGAAGAAAAAAAGATCACTTAGTTTATGATACTTCTGCAAATATACCTGTGCTCCTGCTAAGTCAGGGGGGGTGGGGCAAAGCTGATGGTGTCCCCTGCATTACATTCTGCACTGGGTCTCTAAAGCGCCCTTATGTGACAGTTCAGCTTAGTCTATTCTGCTGGATGGAGAAGCTCTCAGCTCTTAGCCTTACCTGTTTAAATGCTCTCCGGAATAGCAGAAACCGCCTGTGTGCACTGTCTCTGATGGCAAACATCTCATTTTCCTGCTATATAACATGGAAAAAGAAATTGTGCCAAGTTTTAGGTAGAAGCAGATACAAGCTCCCTCTCACTTTTCCTGGCAATGCCACAGGGGTTCCCAAAGCCTGAGATGCCAGGTCTGAATCCTGCATCCCCAAGGTGCCCAATACCAAACTCCCACCTTGTGACAGGGGCTGCCTCCTGTAATTCTCACAGCAATCCTGCCAGGCAGGAGTGTTCATCCCCATTTTACAGATAACAAACTGAAGCCCAGGGAGGTGGAGGACTTTGCAGAGGGTCACCCAGTGGATTGGAAGGAGACCTAGACTGGAACCCAGAACTGCCAGTATCCAGAGCCTGTGATACTCACGCTGGGTTGCAGTTGTGACCCGATGAGAACGAAGTTGTTGGCCAGAGTGGAGAATGACTTCAGAGTCCTAACTTCAACTGTTCTATCGTGGTAGTTTTTGAAAACAGTTTTCAAGTAGAACTCCAGCAGGGTGTGGACAAGGTAACAGCTCTCAGCAGCCTGGGGAAGGTCTGGGTCACTGCTGAGCCAATGCCTCTGCCCACCCTGGCCCCTAGAAGAATGACCCTCATGCCACCCAAGACAAGATAAGCACAGCAGAGATAGGGATCTTCTAGGAGGTGATGATGAACCTTAGATCTGTAGGAGCCTTTCAGGGGCCATGGAAAGCAGCACCTTTGTTTGACAGGAGGAACCAGGACCCAGGGAGAGAAATGACCTGCCCTAGGTCACATAGTAAATCAGTCGCAGACACAACCGAGCTCCCAGGATTCCTGACTGCCTATCTGGTTAATATTATCTTTCTTCCCTGCCACATGGCTTCTTTAACAGCTATGGGGATGTGACGGACCCTGAAAAGCACTTGAACTTGGACTTGGTGGTAGAGAGTTGGCTGAGAACAGAAGAAATCAGGTGAAACTAATATCTTTGGACATAGCAATTGCACTCCAGCCCACTCAAGCTCCTGAAGCACCACATCTTTCAGGGCTCAGGGCTCAGTAGGTTTGTGCCCACTAGATGGGTGATAAGAAGATGATGACCCACCCATGATAACGCAGTCTACCTGACCATGGTGAAAGAAAGGATGAAACCTTTTGCTAGATACTGTCTTTAGTCATGAGCTTGCTTTGCAAACAGAAGGAAAAGATGTCTCCATGTTAGGGGTCAGCATAGAAGCCAACTCTGCAAATACGTGCTGCTTCCCTAGACCCCTGAATCTATCCAGTCCGGGAGATATCAAAGGCCATAGGGACTAAGGGAGGCCCCAGGAAAATGGACCTAGAGAAAAGGATGAAGATGGAAGAGGGGACATGAACCTGAGTAGATGTCCACGGGGCCTACACAAGTAAAAGAGAAATATGTAATTCTCTGTCTAAATGGAGAAAGATGTTTACAAGCCTCCACCTCGCCTGCTCCCAGTACCAACGCATACACATACTACAACCCCAGACACTGACTTCCCTGGCTCACAGCCTGGCCCTATCCTATGTAAGGTCAGTCCAGGGAAGAAGTGAAGGGCTTTCATCAACCTCCCCTAAGAAATCCTTGCACCCCCACCCATACTAGAACAGAAGCACAGAGGGTGGTATCCCCAAGGTGGGATTACCGAGACGTTCTGCAGAACTTCCTGCCGCAGCAGCCGGACACTCGTGATGTTATCTTGAGCTTGCTTTGCAAACAGAAAGAAAAGATATTTCCAGGTTAGGGGTCCGCATAGAAACCAGCACTGTAAATACGTGCTGCTTCCCTAGACCCCTAAATCCAGTCTGTGAGATCTCAAAGGCCAGAGGGACCAAAGGAGGACCCAGGAAAGGCTGTGCTGAACAGGCTTATGGCCAGGGGAGACAAAGTTGCAGCCATGAAAATGACTAAGCTTGGCCCCCAAGAAGCAAATGGAGTCCCAGGATTTCTTAATTCTTAGAGCCTGAACACAGATTCGACAAGGAAGCTGATTGATGCCTCTGGTCATTTGAGATGGGAGGAAATAAGCCTATCTGCTTTAAGGACCACTGTGGACAGGAATTTGGCTCCATGTTCCACATGGTGAGGAAGCGGGGTATGAGGGCAGACAGCCTATACCCCAGAGCTGCCTCTCGCCCTCGGAGTTTCCTCCGCAGCCCAGCCATTCATTCTGGTTCTCAGATTTAGAGCTGACGACTCCATTCAGGACAAAGCCTGGATGAATCTAGCTCTCTTCATGGTTTCCCTTGGGCTCTGTTTATGTCACTGGAGACTGGTCACATTTTTTTCTGAGCCCCAGTTTCCACATGTGTAAATGGGGCTTGTGATGCCTTCTGGCCTCAGAGTTATTATATGGGAAACTGATTAGCAAGCTTTGAAGGGCTCCAGAATCATAAAATAGCATCTTCCCTCTGCCCCCCGACCCCCTGGCCCTCGGAACCCCCATGACTGGGTCCAGAACAGCACTTGACTCACCATAGTGTCCTTCACAGCCCAGAAGGCTTCCCACAGTTTCTGGGGAAGAACTCCCTTCACTTGGCAGGGCCCAAATTGGAATTTTTGGCCCTGGGCCCCTGGCACCTGGCTCCAGAGAAGCAGGAGACTCAAGCAAGTGAGCGCAGCCATCTGCATTCGAGAGGCCATCGCCAGCAAAGGGGGACAGGAGGGTCTGCTGAAAGAAAGGGAGGCAGCTCCTGAGGCAGGCCCTCTCACCCAGAGTGATATGCCCTGGAAAAATGCTCTGAGGGTCTGCCCAGGCCAATCCCTGGGGCTCCTGAATGGGAAAATTGAGACTATTGCAAACCGGTGGCCAAGGGTGCACTGGGGTGAGGCAGGGGTCTTTCTGCCCCTCCAACTTAAGGCCGCTGGCCTTGCCATCTCTCCACCTGCTCTTCCCCACCTTGCCCATTCACACCCACACGCCCTGCACCTCCTCCTCCTCCATCACAGTTCTCTCTTGCCTCAAATCTGTGAGTCAGAATTTGACCGAGAAGAGTGGAGAAATGGGGGGTTCTAATGTGCCACATCTGGGGAGTCCAAACCCAGGAAAACAAAGAGTTGAACTAGATGTGTGCTTGTACAAGTTATGCCCTTAAGTCACCAGGCACACATAGGAAGGCAAGTCTTTTTCTCCTCCCCAGGAGACGGCTGTCCTTCACTCCTCATCACAAGGGAGTGTGGGATTAATCCTGGTTCTGGGGAGGGGCACGGAGGGCAGGACAGGGGAGTCCTGCACCTCCACTAACCACTCTGCCGCCTCCACTAACCGTTCACTCTTGAGTTTAAGAATTCACTTTTTAAGTAACCAAGTAAGAGAGAGATATCAGATTTCCAGATGAATCATCTCCAAAGCCTTCCTCTGAAGTGCCAATTGGGAAGCACTGTGTGAAGAGTCTCCAAGCTGGGGAACCTAACACCATTATGCATTTATTATAACTGATGCAGAGAATTTCTTTCTACCTGCCTTCTTTGCCCTTTGCCCTTTCCCTCCCTCTGTCCTTCCTCCTTCCCTCCTTCCCTCCCTCCCTCTCTCCCTTCCTTCCTTCTTTCCTCCCTTCCTTCCTTCCTCCCTTCCTCCCTTGCTCCCTCCCTTTCCCACTCCTTCCCTTTCTTTTGTACTTCTTTCCACAACCATTTAAGAACCTTTCTTACACCAGGCGCTGGTCTGACACCCGAAGGAACTGCCTCCCACCCCTAGACTGGGAGGAAGAACAAAGACCCGGTTCTGCCAGCACTTGGGCTAGGGAGGCGACGACCCTGGGTTAGAGGTCATGAGGGGTAGGGGCTGTGCTTCAGCATCTCCCTCAATGTCTTCTCATTCTGTTCTTTCAAACTCCAAAGGCTCTTTTTTTTTTTAGATAGGATCTCATTCTGTCATCCAAGCTGAAGTGCAGTGGCGTGATCTCGGCTCACTGTAACCTCTGCCTACCAGGTTCAAGTGATTCTCATGCCTCAGTCTCCTGAGTAGCTGGGATTTTTTTATCTGAAAATATTGAAAACACATGCCCAGCTAATATTTTTGTATTTTTGTAGAGACGGGATTTCACCATGTTGGCCAGGCTGGTCTCAAACTCCTGACCTTAAGTGATCTGCCTGCCTTGGCCTCCCAAAGTGCTGGGATTACAGGCAGGAGCCACCGTGCCCAGCTAAACTCCACAGGTTTTGCAGCCTCTACTGAAAATCCATCTCTCAGTCTCACATTCCTCCCAGTCTTCTTCCCAAGCAGCCTCAATTCTTCCTGGTGTTAAATTGGCGAAAGCAGCTCCTCATCACAGTAATGTCTTGTCCCTACATCAACACTCAAAAAGTTGACTTCTGCTGTCCCAGCCTCAACCCCCATTCACAAATAAAGCAGAAGTCTAGTGCTTCAAAGAAAAGTACCCAAGAATCCCCCATGCTCACCTCTGGTCCTGTAAGTGATGCTTGAGGGCTCGCTGTCTGGAGGGGACTGGTTCTTTTTGCAGAAGAGAAGTTAGACAGGCACGCTTACCATTCACCAATCAGAGACGTAGCTATGGGTAAAAGGTTCCTGTCTCAGCCACGGAAGTTGTTTTAGAAGTAAAAATTTGCAGGCAAGCAAGGTTTGTGGAGATTTGGGCATATATATGGGGGCTGAGGGGGCAGGGGTGGAGGAAAAAGAGGGAGGTGGAGAAAGGGAAATTTGTCATGCTTTCCTAGAGTATTACTTAATTGCCTAGTCACCCTTCACTTTAAGACAATAGGGTGATCGGGAAAGCAGCCCCTGAGGTGAGATGAGACCTGGGCCTGAGTTCAGGCTCTGCCACTGGCTATGTGGGCAGGGGCAAGTCTATTAGCTTCTCTGAGCTGCAATCTCTGCATGTATAAATTTCTTAGAAATCTGTCCCACTTCCCCCCAAGGGCAAGTGTAAGAAACAAATGCAAAATCAACACAGAGGTAATTGGTAAACTCTGTACACATGTAAATACATTATTACTGTGCAGCACACACGAGTCTCCTTACTGTCAAAATAATTCAAAATTATGCATCAAAAATAATTCATTAAGTTGTTATCAAAAATAATTCAAAATAATTCATCATTATGCCCTGTTCATGCTGGGACAGTAGTCCACAGCGACGGATAACCTGTAAGGACCTCTCCTTTAACCCATCAGTGCCAGGAAGTTTAGAAGCATTTCCTGACATGCAGCTACCCATGATTCCTAGGGTTAAATCACTCAACCAAAATATGCGTCACCTTAGGTTCTGGAAACCAGGAAGAATAAGGAAGTGTATACATGGACAAGCCCAGAAAGCTGGGAGCCCTGGTGCTCTGGTGGGCTAGTCTTGGCCTATGTGGCTCTGAACCACTCAGGGGACACAGACAGTGTGATATACCAAGAGTGCCAGTGCAGTGAAGAGCTGTGGCCCTATCTCCAGCTAGCAAGGCACTCAGCTCTAGACTCCACCGTGTACCCAGTGAGGGCATTGAGCAGAGCGATGTTTCCCAAAGCACAGTCCTCAGACTCTAGGCTTCAGGAATTCTTGTCTTGCAAGATTCTCCATGGAACAAATGAGTCCTAATGAGGTCAGTTAGAGAGCCCTGGCATGTGCTAGCCCGTCCTGGAAATGTCTGTGCTTCTTAATTCTGTTTCATCCAGTATTTCCCATAAGTGTTTGCCCACATCCCTGAGGAATACATTTGGGAATCAGGGATTGGCCAACTGTAGGTCACAAGCCAAATCCTGTCACTGCTAAGCTGAGAACGGCTTCACCTTGAAACCTAAGAGAAGTTTTTACATTTTTTAATGATTGGGGGAAGAAACCAAAAGAAAGCCAGTATTTTCAGGTTTCAGTGTCCATAAATGAAGTTTTCGTGGGTCACAGCCAAGCCCGTTTGTTGACATATTGTCGCTAATTGCTTTTGTGCTACAGAGGCAGAGATGAGTAGTTGTGACTGAGACCATATGGCACGCAGAGCCTAAAATATTCCCTAGCTGGTTCTTGACAGGAAGAGTTTGCCCAACCTGGGTCCAGGCTTGAGAAATGGAAGTAGGGATGTGACATGGGGGACAGGATAACCTCCTCCAGCTCAGTGGAGATCAAAGAAAAGAAGAGAGTGAACAGCACAGGCCCGTGGCAGACTCTTCCCAACCTCTCTGGCACCACACCCCCTCCCTCCATCTCGTACTCCATGTTGTTTATTTTCTTAAGCAAACAAAATACTCCTATGCAATCCTTGGCCAGCAGCCTGCTCGGCTATACCTGCCACCAGCAGGAATCCTTTGTTCCTGGAGGGCCTGAGTCTTACCCTCCAGAACCAGGCACAACCCCCCAGCACACTCTCTTTTCCCCTGTGAGGATTTAGGGCATTACCAAGAACCCCTAACTAACGACCATGAGATAAAGATGTCAAGAGGCAGTGATGAGACAGAAAAAAGACCAGGTGAAAGTGCTGGAATAATAGGTGAGTGGGAGGCAGGAGACAGCTAAGGCAGGAAGCTGAGAGGGAAAATGAGCCCTGGGGGCAGCTGCAATTGTAGACTACCATCTGCAGATAGGCGGGGAGGGCAGGCACGCGGGATGAGCTGTTACAGGGCAGGCTGGAACAGAGGCATGAGGTCATGGATACACCTTGGCTGACCGCAGGATACACCTGGGATCATGAGTAGCTCACTCTGTCTGAGAAAGGAATCATCCAACATGGATAGTTTGGGCAAACACGTGCCTGGGCCTCAGCCTCCGATGAGCTTATCAGAGCATCATTACCTGAGAAGGAAGGGCAAGGAAAGAACCTAGAGACATTGGCCCAACATCAACTGAGAATCTAGTTGCACAGGCTTTGGAGGCAGGCAGACCTGGGTTCAAAATGTGATTGAGCCACATATGAGCCCTCTGAGTCTCAGCTTCATTACTTATGAAATAGTAAGACCATGAGGATGTGATGACCTGCAGCTCTGATCGCCAGGTGTGGTCCATGAGCCAGCAGTAATAGCATTATCTGGGACCTTGTTAGAAATGCAGAAGCTTGGGCTGGGTGCAGTGGCTCACATCTGTAATCCCAGCATTTTGGGAGGCCAAGGTGGGAGGATTGCTTGAGCCCAGAAGTTTGAGGTCAGCCTAGGCAACATGGCATAGACCCCATCTACAAAAATATGTAAAAATTAGCTGGTTGTGATGGCACATACCTGTGGTCCCAGCTACTTGGGAAGATGAGGCAGGAGGATCATTTGAGCCTGGGGGAGTTGAGGCTGCAGTGAGCCATGATCTTGCCGCTGCATTCTGCCCTGGGAGACAGAGCAAGACCCTGTCTCAAAAAACTAACTAAATAAAAATAAAGTAGAATCTCAAGCCCTTCCAAAAAATGACTGAATTAGAATATGCCATTTAAGAACCTTCCAAGGTGATGCTTATGTACGTTAAATTCTGAGAAGCATCAGCATAAAACACATGAAAGAGTTAGTGTCTTCCCCGCGGTAAATGCTTAATCAGGAAGAGCTCCAAGTGACAGGAGGAAGGACTGATTTAGGGGATCTCAATGGGGTGACTCCATACTCGGGACACTGGGCAATGTCTGGGGACATTTTTGGTTATCAGAACCGGGAGGTGCTATTAGTATCTAGTGGAATGGGCTGGGAATGCTGCTAAACAGCCTATAGGGCACAAGACAGCCCCTCATCACAAATAATTATATGACCTAAGGTCAATAGTGCTGAAGGTAAGCAACCCTGGATTAGAAGGAAGCAGTGGCTATGGGGGAAATAGCTGGAATAGGAACAGAGAAAGAGAAGAACATAACCTTTACTGGGAAGGGAGGCAGTAGACTGGTCAGATGATCAGGGGAGTGGGAAAAACAAGATGGCAAGTTGGAAGGCAGTGGCCAGAGGCCGCCAGGTGGGAACGGTGGGGAGACCTGGCTCACTGGCCCACCTCTGGGGAAGCACCAAGTCTCAGACTTTGAGAGGTTGAAGGAAGTGGGGCTGGTCCTCTTGTCCAGATTCTTGTATTT